TTCTCTCCTCCTATCTAGTCTTTTTATACTTTTGTGCAAATTTCGGTTTTGTTAGGTTTACTCTTGACGACAATAGAACAGATGTGTCTGTGGTCCAGTATTTCCGTGAAAAATACAATATTGTGCTTAAATATGCATCATTGCCTGCCATTCAATCTGGAAGTGAAGCAAAACCTGTTTACGTGCCAATGGAGGTTCAGTTTATATGGATATGGAATTATTTTCTTCTTATTATTTTTTCACCATTTGCAATACTGATATTTTTGACCCTTCTCTCATATATGATTTTGTTTGTTATGCAGCTGTGCCAAATTGTTGAAGGACAGAGATACACAAAAAAGCTAAATGATCAACAAGTAAAAGCTCTGTTGAAAGCAACCTGTAGACGTCCATCTGATAGGGAGAGGGATATTAAAAGGGTACAGCAACATTGAGATACTTTCTTCTGATAGCAGGACTAATTTTATGTTGATTAATTAAGAACAATGATTTGCCTTGGCATCTCATGTTGCTGCAGATGGTGCACAATAATAATTTCAACAGAGAAGAGCGTGTAAATGATTTTGGAATTCAAGTTGGACAAGAACTTGCATTTGTTGATGCGCGAGTTTTGCCTGCTCCAATGGTAAGTACATGCCAAGATGTTATATTTTCAAGAGAAATCATGCTTGGTATTTTAATATGAAATGTGGCGTTTGAATGTTTTGGTTGCTGCAGCTTAAGTATCATGATACTGGACGAGAACGAAGTGTTAATCCTGGGTATGGGGCATGGAACATGATCAACAAGGTGCTATACTAGTTTTCTTTGATTGTGTCGTTCATTTCCTTTGGAAAAATTATATATTTCTGAAGCAGTATTATTAAAAAAATAGAGAAATCAGAACCAAGTCAATATGATGTGTCAGCCCTTTCTTCTTGCACCAAAGATTAAATTTCCAAAGGAACTGGAGTGGCACGTGTTTTCACATTGTATGTTTGACATTGTAATGTGTCTTAAATTCTTTTGGGGAATTTATATTGGATAAACTCTGGGCGTGATTGGAGCATCTTTAATACTATGTCCAGTTGAAAATTTGCAGAATGATGCTTTTCTTCACTGAGGGTTTAGAAGAATGGTCTCCTTGGAGTTACTAGTAGTGGAACCCTATTTACATAGCCCGTGGAACCTGAAGGCAAATGTAGTCGTTTGTGTGAAGTGTTGTTAGACCATGATTTTTCACTGATTTTTTTTTTGTTATTTGGTTCTGCAGAAAATGGTGAATGGTGGGAGAGTGGATTACTGGACTTGTGTGAACTTCTCCTCCGAATATAAAAATATATCAGAGCACTTCTGTCTGGAACTGGTGAAAATGTGTAATAACAAAGGAATGGTATGCCGTGCAGTTTCTTACATGTTGATTTTTTGTTTGTTATCCAGTAATTGACTTGATTTTTCATCTGCTTGTTATACAAGGTATTTTACCATACTGCTTCAGTCCGTATTCGTTCAGCTCGTCCTGATAGAATTGATGAAACTCTCTTAGCTGTTTACAAGGAATCTACAGGGCAGAAGAGGCCACTTCAGTTGTTGATAATTATTTTACCTGATGAGAGTGGCTCATATGGTAAGAGATCCAGATTTAAAAAGTATTTCGACAGTTCTAGTTTCTCTTTGCAACTAAAATCGTTTTGCTTACAGGGAAAATTAAACGAATATGTGAGACGGAGTTAGGTATTGTTTCTCAATGTTGTCAGCCCAAGCAAGCTTCAAACTTTAGGCCTCAATATCTTGAAAATCTTGCTCTGAAGATCAATGTGAAGGTACTTTTTCTGCCTCATTGGTTATTTGGGATTTATGATGTTGACTTCTTTTGGTATTTGTTTAGTCATTTTTGAGAATTGTGAATTTAACAGGTTGGGGGACGTAATACCGTGCTGAATGATGCTATTGAAAGAAAAATTCCTCTTGTAACTGATATCCCTACAATTATATTTGGTGCGGATGTCACTCATCCAAAGCCCGGGGAAGATTCTAGTCCTTCAATAGCTGCAGTAAGCATAGTCATGTTCACCATTGTCCCTTTTCTGTTTCTGCATCCTGTTAAGAGGTAATTGACTGGCTTCAGGTGGTTGCTTCAATGGATTGGCCAGAGGTTACTAAGTATCGAGGAATAGTCTCTGCCCAGTCTCATCGGGAGGAAATAATCCAGGATCTCTATAAAATAGTTCAGGATCCTCAGAAGGGTGTTGTTCATAGTGGAATGATTAGGTATGGAGGTGAATATGGTTTTATTTTTAGGACCATGTTACAGTGTTATTGGAAGATGTCTACTTATTTCCATAATATTGCTTGTTTCTTCAGGGAATTGCTTATGGCTTTCTATAAATCAACTGGGCAAAAACCTTCCAGGATTATTTTCTACAGGTAGCCTTTGTTTCTGATCACCCAAATTCTTGAATGTTTTTAGTGGCATTACTGATCTTGTGTTTTTTAATTTGGCAGAGATGGAGTTAGTGAAGGCCAATTTAGTCAAGTTCTGCTCTATGAAATGGATGCAATTCGAAAGGTATATTAAAGGTTTGTTTTTTTGGTGGTGGTAGGGGCGGGGGGGATTGTAGGCCTGCTCTATCACTTGGATTAAGTGACAGCTCAGTGTCTTTTGAAAAAGAAATCTAATTGAGCCTGACATCAGCCTGAACTATAAGTATTGTCTTATAAACTCATAACTCCTATTATTTTGAATGCTATATAGTCTGTTATATGGTTCTTTGTATGTCAAATTACTGGGGCATTTATTTAAAATGGAAATACAAAGATTGTATGGAGTATGTGATTTTTCATCTAGCACGGTATGCTTAATAATGTCTGCTACTTTTTATTTGTGCAATGTTTGGTGTTTTGGTTTGCTGATGCCAGCAATTGACTTCCTTCCAGGCTTGTACATCACTACAGGAGAATTATATGCCACCAGTTACATTTGTTGTGGTGCAGAAAAGGCATCATACTCGCTTATTTCCTATTGAGAATACCCTAACAGATAGGAGTGGCAATATTCTAGCAGGTAATTAATGTTATAATAGGGATTGATCATATTCTTTGGACCTCCCTTGCTCTAGAATTGTATTAACTTTTTACCACAATCATGTTTTGCAGGTACTGTTGTTGATACTACCATTTGTCATCCTACAGAATTTGATTTTTATCTTAATAGTCATGCTGGAATCCAGGTAAACTAGGCTTGCCTTCTAATATGATGATCACTTTATACAATTATGATATGCTTCTTGTGTCTGTTATTGTTTTTCTTTTTAATTGGTATTTTCTATTTTCGTTACGTAGGGAACAAGCAAGCCAACTCATTATCATGTCTTGTATGATGAAAACAAGTTCACTGCAGACAACTTGCAAGTGCTCACAAACAATTTATGTTACACGTAATGGATCTTTCTCTATAATCTGAATTAGTGTGTAATAGATAATTCACAAATTAGTTCTACTTATTATATAATAATTGTACTCATTTACAGGTATGCAAGGTGTACTCGGTCGGTTTCCATAGGTTAGTGATCTTTTTGTTTATTGCTCTTAAATCTGTTTTCAGGTTGTCATCAGTTTATTCCTAAGCCAGTGTTAACAGATAATATCATGATTACATTTGCAGTGCCTCCTGCATATTATGCTCATCTAGCAGCTTTTCGGGCACGCTATTACATAGAGGATGGAACTTCAGACAGTGGCTCCACAGATGTGAGACGGAGTGCAAGAGACAGAAACATGGAGGTTCGGCCTCTCCCAAGCATCAGAGAAAATGTGAAGGAAGTCATGTTTTACTGCTGAATAGGCATGTCTTTCTCTGTTTATGTTTTTATTTGGGTTTCTTTCACCAATGCATCGTTGTTTAATGGGTGGTTATTTAGGGTATCTTGAAGCCTTCAACAACATACATATATGTTACACTTACATTGCCTCGGTTAATATTGCCAATAGCTTTTGAACTTTTTGTTTATCCCTGGAAGTCGGGGACTGCCCTCTTGATAATTCTTTTTGGCTCAGGGCTTGTTTGGTTTTTGTGTACATGTCACAGATAGAGGTTTTCTTGAGCTGGATACTTTTGAATCATATTGCTCAGTTACCAAGGTGAAATGTGGCTGTGTACAGAGTAAAACTATTATCAAAAATATGTTTATTGAAAAATATGTTTTAAAGTATGACTTCTTTTTCTGGCCTTTGACATGCAATTGTATTCAGATATTTGCTACCTGAGGGGCTAAACTAACAAGTTATAAATCATGCTTTATTAGTCCTTCCATACATCTATCATTTCCCCTCTTTTTAACACTTACATGGTTGACATGACTCTTGATTGATGTTGCATTAGTATTCCCTAGCCATTGCCAGAAGAAGAGCGAGGAAATGGATTGTAAAAAACAAAGTTGTTTTTGGTACACATTAGTTAGTATAAGTGGGAGGGTACAAAAATAGTTAGGAAATGGAAAACAGATTTTGCTTTTGGACCATGTCATGAAGTTTGGGGAAGAGATTGGAACTGTGGATCTCACCTTCTTCAAAGAAGACTAAGCCAAGCTTAAATTGTTCTGTAACTGTTATAGAAATAAAAGGGATATTAGCCAATCATGATAGTTTAACTCAATTCTAGATTTTCAAACCTAAGCCACCCATTAGCATCAAATATCAATATGAGAGAAAAAAAAAATACTAAATAAATTGATCATAGTGACAACATTTTCTTAAGGGCAATACCATATCAAAAGGAAATAATTCACTATCCGAAATAAATGCAAAAAAATATTAAAAAAATTTCATTGCAAAAATATTCTAGTTTTACATAAGATAGATATGGTTCCTGCATAGTTCATTGGTTCTTATATTCTACCCTGTCCTGATCTCATTGGCCTTCAAAGCAAAATGCATTCCTTCTTCCACTTGGATAGCTAGCTCTAATTGTCCATTTCCAAACAGCATCTTCCTTTTTTTTTGTCCGGTAGCTTGATCGTTCTTTAAAAGCCAAAAGGATTAAAGACTGAAAAAGCGGCAGCTGTTGTTGGCACCTGCGCAACCCTTTCGTTGTTCCACCTATTTCTCATGTTATTTGCACTAATAGCGCTCTGCAATCCACAAAATAATCCCATCAAATATTTCCTGTGATGCAGCTGTAAATTAACTGATATGTATATATAAAAGATGGGGTACAAATCTTCTATTGCACGGTCAGTTAGGAAAAGGAACAGGAAAATACCTGTGGGTATGAATGCTGAAATGGGTGACTGCGATTTTGGGCAATCATATGCCCATGCATCCGCTCCCCATGTTGACTTGCAAAGCCTGGAATCTGTGCAGGAACCTGAAAGTGTCGAAACAGGTGAAGTTTAGTACTCATTATCAACCATAAGGATGAAGTGAGCCTATCAACTCATAATCATACTTATTCAATGGCCTTAAGTTACTGAAAGACTTACCATAGGAAATGGGGGATAACCGAAGATTGGATATGTTGGAGTAATAGAAGTGTTGAAGGGTCTAGGTATTCCTCCCATTGTTCGCTGTCTGTGAGCGAGTTGACAAATATTGCTTCGCTCCTCTTTAGTCTGTGCCATGGATACATGTAGAGGTTTGCGGTGAAACATGATACCTACGAGCAATCAGGTGATTAACTAATTAAAGCTCCATTATCAAACACAAAAGGATCAAGGCAATCCTGTGACCATGTCACAATATTGTAGATGCACAGTGGAAGAAAAAAGAAACGCAAAATACTAAAAGAAGCCTATTTATTGAGAGATTTTAAAGGATAAATTCAGAAATTTCATGCTATAATCAAAACAAAAGAAATTTCTACGACTTATGAGAATTTAGAAAAAAAAATAACTACTAAAATTAAATTAAACTTAATAAACTACACTTGCATACTTACCATTGAAGATTCTGATAGCTCGTTCAGCGTCTTCGAATTTGAAAAAGCATACAAAACCAAAACCTCGACTTGTTCTATTATTATTTCGCATAATCTTAACAGATTTGATCATTCCACATATGTTAAAAAATTCTTTCAGTTGATCTTCATCAACGTCATCATTTATGTGTTTTACATATACATTGAAACCCTACAAGATCAGAAAGCAGAAAAAAATTAAAAAAATAAAGAAAAAAAATGCACCCGAAGTAAAAACTCTGGTCATTTTCTCCTACCTTGTCTTGTTGAAGTTGCTCCTCCAGTGACATTCCCTGAAGCTGACGCTGAAGCGTGTGTTGCCGCTCTTGTTTCTTCAGTGCCTTTGCCACATATAACACTTTTGACTCTGCATATATATACAGCATGGATCAAGTTGATAAATTACTAACGTTAGATTCAGAACATTGATAAAAATTGTCATCATTCTGGTCATGGTTTTCCAAAAGGGAAATGGGCTTACCGAGTTGTGCTCCATTCATAGACTCCTCAGCCTTTTTGGCATCCTCTGGTCTCTCAAAGTTTACAAAGCCAAACCCTTTTGAAACTCCATTGGAGTCTCTTGAAATAACCAAGCTGGTAATGTTTCCAAACACTGAAAACTTTTCCTGCAAAGTTTCTTCCGTCACGCTCTGCTTCAAATTCTTCACATACAGATTTGTATGTTCGACGTCAGATTGAATTCTGTCCTCCTTTTTCTTGAAAAGATCAACATAGCTACAGCATAGAAAAGATATGTAGATACTGTTAGTACATGTTCAGTCATCAACAGAGAAAAGCAAAGCTTATAAAAGTATAGCAGCCGTAGGGATAATTGCTTTACATACATTCTCTTTCCTTCGATGTAGTGACCATTAAGTTCTTCAATAGCTTTTTGGGCAGATTCTGGTGTTTCAAACTGAACATAGCCGTACCCTTTGCTGTTTCCATTGTCAAACACTTGAACTTTGCAAGACAAAATATTTCCGTAGTTTGAAAAAATAGCTTGAAGCTTCATGTTGTCGATTGAGGAGTCCAAGTTCTGCCAAATATCCAAATTTCCGAATCAATATATAAAAGCAAACATTTAATTAAAGATAAAATGCTTCACTCCATCAAAAGAACATAGTAATACGTACCTTGACAAAAAGATTTGCATCCTCATTTGTTTTATAGTCATCATGTCGCCACATCACTCGAATGGCTTTACCATTCATAAGTGTATTGTTCCTTGTAGCCATGGCTACCCTTGCTGATCATCAAGAGAAAAAAAATTAAATTAAAGTATGAAAATTGATAATAAATATTTATATATATATATAATGCAAGCAAGCATGACCCTGATATATGTATATCTTAATTTTATATGTCTAATTATTTATGCATGGCATAAATAAGAGAGCTATAGCATGCATGCGTGGTTATTGTTTTATTAACAATCACTTCATTTAATGCATGTAGTTGAACTCAGTACATACCAGATTCCGGCTCAGCAAACTCTACGAAACCGTGACGTAGAGATTGTCCGGTGTTGTTGTCCTTACAAAGTACAGCAGAAACAAATCCATTCATGCCAGAGAAAAACTCGGTGAGTTGCGCTTCAGTCACGGTGGCATCAAGGTCACCGACGTACAAAGAATTCAGGTTCGCCGTCTCCATTGATGAAACTACAGGTGTAGGCAGCTGATCCATATATATATATATATAAAAATATATTGATCAGTGTTTCAAACGAATGAAAAACTGGGGCTAGCTTGAGTAAGCGAAAAAAGGTTACAACTCAAGAAGAGGAGAGGGAAGAAGATACAAGAAGAAGACGACGAAGAAAGAGATAAAAGTGATAGGTGAAGAAGAGAAGACTCGTATATATAGATCGAAAGTAGTTTTCCTAGTTCGAGCGCAAGTTTATATACGTTTCCTGCTGGGAATAGTGGAAAGTTAACTTTACGTACAGAGATTGAGACGAAGTAGTTTTCCTAATTCGATTATAAGGCTATAGAGTTTCCTTATTACGGGAGGATTTGAAGTTTTTTTTAAACAGAGATAACACATTTATATTTTCATGGGGTCAATGAGTCCAAGCCCATTACTTAGGTCCATAATATAAATGTACAGTGATTAATTAAAACGTAAAACAAATAAATCAGGGATTGTATTTAATACACTGATAAACTGCACTTCATTAAAAAATAAATTTAAATTTTTTTAAAAAATTTGATAATTGATGTAACCAATTTTCTTAAAAAAACAAATAAAAACAAATCTTTTATCTTTCTCCAACTCCCTCTAGCCCAATTGTGAAAGCAATCCCCCCTTTTTTTATATCATCATTTTAGATTAATAGTATATTTGAATGATATGCGAGTTGGATGGATAGAAGGATAAGAGATTGGAAATAGCTCTTCTCCCTAGTGACAGTAACAAATTGAAGGACAGGAAGTAACAAATGCAAGAAGGTTTGTATAAAATTAAAAATTAGCTGATAAAATAATCCTGTATTGAATGTAATTTACACCGCTGCCAATAGTGTAACCCCCTAAAACCTGTAATTTTCCTACATGGCTGATGATAATACACTCGGAAACAAAGCAGAACCGTGGAAATGTAACCTAAAATTGTATTGCACACTGTGGCAGCCCTTGGCAGCAATCAAATAATTAATCATGGTTCAGCCAATTGCTATACATACCAAACCGGCCAGAAAATTTACAATGAAACCCAGAGTGTTTGTCCCAGAGTTCTTGCAGTATATGCTACAAAAACAGTAGACCGGCAAGCATAAATACATGTAGAAGTAAAGCTTTTATGCTCCTTGGTTGATTCTGTGGTGAGCCACCGTCACTCATCTGCCCCGCATTCACGAATTCACTTCTTCCTGTATTGACATTTGCAGTGACATTGACCGACATTGAACCTAACCACATGCACAAGGGAGTAGATTCAGGATTGATGTAAACTCAATGAAATCACTCAGCTGCTTATAAAGTCTACTTACTTTCAACACATGGATCAGTTTTGTAATTTCACATGGCATTGTTAATAATCTGTAATATCATTATGGTGAAAAGCACCAGTTTACAGGACTGACGAGTTTGTTGCAATGTAGATTATATTAACAAAATCTATTCTCATGTCAGACTCCTAAGGCACATTTTTGATGACGTAATTTGCACTTACAGTCATAGTTGGTCCATCCAATCCGTTGATTCGCTAGATCATAAACAAAGATTTTGTCTTTTAGAACAAGATCTGCAAAAGGAAGATGGTGAAACTTTGATCTGGGTTGCTGCTTTCATCATGAAGGCAAAAGTCATCCAGCTAATTGATCAAAGCACTAAATCTCATGCACCAGTTAATCTTACACTAACAAATAGCTAATTGTTCAAATCAGAACTTTATGAAAATTAAACACTTTCCAAAAGGCCCAAAATTTCAAGAAGCCTACAAACTATGCACTCTCCAATTAATCAAAACATTCTGCTCAGCGAAAATACCTCCTAAAATTGTTATCCCTTGGCCCTGAATTTTCTGAAAGCCAATGCACCAAACGGCAGCACCACCCTGTAAAAATCGAAGTCACCCATTTCATTCAGAAATTTGGGATATCAAATAAAAACAAAACAACACAGATACAAGGGATTCATTCAGGATACAGTTAGATTTTAAAAGCTTGTTTCAATATGCTTCCACTTTGCAATTGAAACATTAATTAATGATTAGACAGCAGCAAATGAAAAGAAAAAGATGAAGAACATCAGGCAAGGAACACAGATTACAAAGGCTGCAGCTAATAATGAGAGACAATCCACCATATACCATTAAATGTTAAAGGACTAATTTTTATAGATGCATTACTTGGGAATAAAATTATTGTTAGCTAAATAATTTATTATTAAGGGGGAAAATAAAATAAATAAAATTGACTTGAAAGGGTGAGAGTTATGGGGAAAGCTTGCCAAATATATGGAACCAGTTGAAGGGACCCTATACAACAATTGTTCCAAATGAAGAAAACCAAACAGATCCTCAACAATATAATAAAATGAAAAAGAAGATACAAGTAGATGGAAGATGCATGTCCAAAGCTTTAGATGACTCACAATAGAATTCTGCTGTACAAGATAGTCCTGAGGATTTAAAATCATGGATGCACCGCCAGCAAAGTTCAGACTAACTTGAGGGAATATGTCAGTGACACTGAAAGAATGTTAACATAAAGTCAGTTACAATCATCTTAGAAGATAAAACACTTGATGAAAACAAAATGAAATAATATCTGAGGGAAGTCAACTTGGAGGATATCAGGTAGCATTGATTTCCCTTGGAAAGAACAGGGCGCACAGTTTGTGAAACAGCGTTTGTGATCTAGACAACAGGAGAATAATTTTTGATCATTAAAGACATGCTTCACAATCAGATATACATGTGTTTCATTAACAAGAAAGACAAACTTAGCAGGTGAACGGCATAATTTTTTCAAAAAAAATGCTGATGAATCTTCTTAAAAATGTCAATCTCAGTAAAACCTAGCAGAATACTTACAGCACTGACAAAGGCATCATAAGCTTCATCAGCTAGGTATGCCAAAGTTGTCCCAGAATCAACTATTGTTCCTTGGTTGCTTGATGTTGAAAACACTGATGGGTCAATTGATAAAACTTGTCCACCAACTGAAATGCTCCGCAAATCAAGATTATAGTGAGGCCTGAAATTTTGATGGTTCAAGAATGGTTAAGCAAATTACCATCAGAAATTATATATTCCAATCATAAAGCATGTTATCAAACAAGCAGAAAGAAGATCTTTGTTTTTTCTTTTGATAGACTCAGAAAGGGGGATTTCAACTTGCGGCCTCTATGTCGAAGGGGATCTATTATCGAGGCAATGCCTCTGCCACAGAAGGAAGATCATTAAATATTTAAAATATTATAATCAGCTGAAACTTGTGAAGTTGTTAGATGATTATCAGTATCATTGTGAAGAACTCTCCAAATAAGCAAGTCTAAATTGGTGGTCTAATAGCTGATGTAAGTAAACATGCTACGTAACATATATCGCACTAGGAGGAAAAAAGAGTTATATCCATCAAATGACATTCAATAGCAGAAAGAAATCACCTCTATTTAAACTATGGAAGATATGAAATTTTAAACCTCCAATGGCATTACCCAAAGGTTAGAGCTTTATAACATCTTTCGACATTTCAAGAATGTTGTAAGCTACTTTTATTATTAAGACTGATAATTAAGCCAAAGAGAATAATCTAACCACAGCTGTCTTAATCTTCTTATTAAATTATATCTACTCTGACTCATGCCATTAATAGTTTATATTGGAACTAAGAGATATTTCTATATTACATTTGAAAATAAATTATTCAAATAGAAGAAAGCTGCAAATAATGAACATAACAATGTCCAAATGACAGTCAGCTTCAACCAAATAATGGAAGAAATTATGATCAGAAGCTAGTAGAATTGATGATTGATTAACCTTGTTCGAGACATTAATCTACCCCAGTATAGAGACAATTGCTAAATACAAGGACTATCCAATATTTTAGTAACATAAACCCAGATTTCCCATAAAGTTCAGAAAGCAGATAGTATCATTGTGATTTATTACTTCATTCTCTTGGAAACTATGCCATAACCATGAAAGCCTGCAGAAATATCATTATTTTTAACAGTCTCAGATGAGGTGGCCTAGCAAACATGGTGCCCTCGATCTGTTCATATGCTGGTACCATTTGAACCAGAAAAATAGAAGTCTAATTAGCAGATTGGAAAGCAACATTATCATCAGGCTTTTCGTCATGCTCTGTTTGATCTCAACACCAGAAAGCTAGTCAAATAATGGTAACTTGCTTCAGAAAGAGTAGAACATCAAGCTGATAGAACTAAGCATGTACAATTATGTGTCTTATTACCACTACGTGTCACACAAAAGATAAAAATGTTTTTCATTTTACAGATAATAAGGAAAAAGCTACCAGTTGAAAATCAAAAGGCACAGAAAGTGTAAATAACTAAACAATGAATTACTGAAGATACAAAAAATTCTGACTTAAGGTGCAATTCGTTTCTGTCATGCTTTCTCCTCCAAGCCTTTCAAATATCACTAAGTGCTTACGGTTATAAATTATGAAAATGACAATTTCAAAACCAGGAGCAGGCAAAAAGTTTAATTATGGAAAAAACTTACTAAAGCATAACAAAAAGAAATAGATATGCAAGGACCACAAACAGAAATGATAGAAAACCAAAGCAGCTACAATGAGAACATACTGTGATGGGACAAGTGGAGTGTAAACCATATTTGGCTCCAAAATCTCGCCTAAAACAAGGATACCCCCACCACCATTATTTCCTATTAAGCAGTGGGAAAACACTTTAGGTGTTATTCCCTGTGATGAAAGTTGTGAGATTACAGACAAACTCTGCTGCCCAAACCCAAAGATTCCATCAACCGCTCTATCTGACTTTGTCAAGTCTCCAGTCTGTAACATACTACACCTGTTTCACAATCCACAACTTAAGCCAATAAATTCCACTTTAAAATCAAACAAATTAAAAAAAAAAAAACATGATTAGTATCTTATTGTTGACAAATTCTGTCTAGCTCACCCAAACATAATGGGAGCTGTAGAATTAGTAGTCATAGATCCCTCAAGAATTGTATTCAAATGCAACAAATCCGATGCATAATAGCCCGATGTTCCACTACCATCTCCATACTGAAATGTGTAACTGCACTGATTGCTCTGACCTGAACAGCCAGAATCTGATGATTGGACACCTGCACTACATCTTTGGTCTGAACATGAGACTAATGAAGCTGTTGATGAGCTTCCAGGATCATACAAATTAAGTTGAATCTGTAACAAAAACGGAGTAGCTCAAGTCCTTTTGTTTCAATCAATTACCAAATTGAAATAATTTAA